TTCCTGTAGTACAGTGTCTGCTCTGTGGCAGTTCTTCTTGGATTTTATAGAACTTCTTATAAAGTACAGAGCTTTTGGGGTCCAGGGTCCCGGGACAAGGCCAAAGAGAGCTGTGGAAGGCCGGAGGGAGTAAGCGGATATTACAAGGTTTGTTTACAGCAGAAGGGGCCTTTTCTTATGGACTGAATGTGTGTGTCCACCTGCCGCCCCCCCCCGAATTCCTGCATGAAACCCTTAACCCCCAAAATGACGATGCTTAGAGCTAGGGCTTTTGGAGGTAGTTAGGTTTAGATGAGGTCATGAGGGTGGGGCCCCCATGATGGGATTAGTGCCCTTGTGAGAAGAGGAAGAGACCGGAGATCTAGTTCCCTCTCCCTCCTTCTCTATCTTTTTCTCTCTCTCCCTCATCTCCCTCTTCTCTCCTCCTCCCTCTCTCTCTCCCCCTCCCTCTCTGCTACGTAAGAGGGAGTACACGTCTGTCTGCAACCCAGGAAGAGAGCCCACCCCAAAAAAAATCGGCTCGCGCCCCAGTCTTAGACTGAGAGCTTTCAGTATTGCGAAAAGAGACTTCTTTTTTTTCAAGCCACCCAGTTATGGTCAATAAATGTGTTTGCTTGAATGTCTGGGCCACTGACCAAGTGAGGTCATGTGCCAGAAGCAGTTGACACAGGCTGGGAGATCTTCTGTGAACATCTCCTCTCAGCTCCATATTTACTAATGTAAATGGCATTGGCATCAGTCATGGCGGGAGTGTTTACACCCTGGGAATTGGCGAGCTCTCTAAATCAGGGCCTTCTGTACACGCAGATCCAGCTATTTAGCACTTGCCAGCATACCACCGGCGTATCTAGACGAGACACTTGTGTGAGAAGGGTTTCCTGCAGTTCTCGTGTTCAGAATCAACCTTTTTCTGTTGTGGTTTCTATGTTGATCACTAATACAGGATGACACTCTTCGGTTCTCTTTCATTACCATCCAGAGTTATTCAGAATTTATGGGCTCTCCTGGCAAACCAACCATCACCTGGGGCATTGTTTCTATGGGGGAACATTTCCAAGTCACAAGTTACTGACTTTAAAATAAATGTTTGGGGGACACCTGGGTGGCTCAGCGGTTTAGCACCTGCCTTTGGCCCAGGACCTGATCCTGGAGTCCTGGGATTAAGTCCCATGTGGGGCTTCCTGCATGGGGCCTGCTTCTCCCTCTGCCTGTGTCTCTGCCTCTCTCTGTGTGTGTGTGTGTGTGTGTCTCATGAATAAATAAATAAAATCTTTAAAAATAAATAAATAAATGTTTGGAAAAGAGCCCATTTGTGAGTTAGGGACTTTGAATTCTGGGTCCTCATGGGGAAGTGAGAGAATGAAAAGACCCACATTGATTTTTTTTTTAATATAGCCTAAGTGAAAAGGGAAAAAGAAATGGAATGATTGAATGTGAGGAGGAAAAGATGAGGGGCAATTTAATAATGGGGGTGGGTACTAGCTGTTTGCCTTTCCACGGTAAGCGTCTCGGATTTGGCTAGATGAGTATTTTTATGGTATTATTCTGGGATGGACAGTTTGTGGATTTTATTCCAAACACTTGGCAGACTTCCTTTTGTCAATAAGGGGTCCATTCTGAGAACCAAGAAATGATTAGAACAAGGTTGCTCGTCTGCTTCCAGATTTCTGGCATCCTTACGATCCTGCATCTGCAGGTGGTGTTCTGTGGCTCGGGATTTTGAGAAACATGATATAACTCAACAAATCTCTTTTGTAACACATCTTAGGATAACGAGACTCCACATTTATCATTTTTTTCCTATCCAAAAACTGAATGTCCTAAAATGTAAGCTACCTCAGCCTAAAACCATAAATTAAACATTCTAAATCAATAATTTTTTATTATCCAATGAGGGAAAAGGTGTTATTTGGGGCTCGTTAAATTAGTGTTATTTTAGTCGTTCCTTCAGAAGGGATGGGAGTATTCCTTTCCTTAATGATATTACATATCTTGATTTAGCATTTCCTTAAAACCATCTGAAACAGTGAAATGACAGCTGTAAATCTGCCACTTCGAAGCTGAAATGGTTCACATCACTCCCAGGCCCTGGTTGAACAGTTGGTTTATGATGTGGTTTCAGAATAACACTTTTGAGCCTGGTATTTTCCTTCCTCCAAAACTGACACGAATCCATAAAGCTTTTTAACGATGACTCTCAAATATACCAAAAGTGTTCTCTGTGGCATATTTTTTTGGTTTGTTGAAATAAAATCCTTAGCTTTCTGAATTCCTCCTCATAATCTGCCTTGGAAGGATAGTCACCGCTTGAGCTGCAAGACGCATCGTATCTCCCCTTGACAGGACTGCTAGCTATCTGCTTCGCCAGGTGCGCTGTCCTGCCTCAGCTTTGGCTCCCAGGGTCTCAAACTCCTGCGTGCACGAGCATCGCCTGGGGAATCTGCTGTGCATGGTCCTGTGCATTGTCAGGACCCTCTGGCCTGGATTCTGGAGCTAAGGCTTGGGGACCAGCGTTTGAACAGAGAAACGTCATCAGGGACTACGTTCAGCCCACTCTCTGGAAGTGCGGTGACCGGAGACATTCCGGCTCAGGGAAGCCCAGGTTCTTGCTGGCGATGGACGGCATCTGTAACCGGGGTGCCGGGGCCTCCACGGCTCTACTGCTTCCTCAGCCTCTGCTGCCCAGAACCTCTCCATAGGCCCAGATCCTTCATGCCTTGATCTTCAGTGTCAAGTGCCACATACGTTTCTCTCTTCCTTTCTGTCTGCCCCTGGTTTGTTCAAACTCTCTGGCCTTGATCTTGAGCCCTCCTCTCACCCCCTGCTCCCTCCAGGCACCATTTCCCACCTCTCCTCTCCTGCGTGGCCCCACGTAATGACCCTTCATACTCAGGGAGAACTTTTCTGTGGCAAAGTGAACCCCTTGGGATGTCTGCTGCAGGTGACCTGCCTGGCCTGCTCTCTTTGACTGTCCCCCACCGGCCCCTACAATCCATCACAGCAGCTGGCCTATGAACATCCATCTGTCCCACTAGGCTCTGAACTGTCGAAGGCAGGGATCACCTCCTTTTCCTTCATTGTCTCCCCATTGCCCAACCTAAAATGTAGTGGGGGAACTAATGAGTCTTGCATAAACAACTGACATTGTAAAAAGAGTATATGACTTTCCCCTGAGGCACGATGCCTCTGATCGCACTGTCTCCGTCTCCACACCAAGTGCTGATGCTTCTCCATCAACTAGACAGAGAGTTGGTCTCCCTTCACCTTTCCACAGCTACTGCCTCTGGCTCTTTTGGTCCCCTGTTCCATGTCTTTTACCCCAGATGTCCTCCTTGGTCCCTAAAGACAGGGCTGATGCTCCTCATATTCCCTGGTCCTGCATTTAGATGCCTGATAGTCTAAATCCTCTAGATGGAGAGCTTCTTGGGAGCAGGGATGGTCAACTCAGCACCCAGCAGAGTGCCTGGCACCCCTATGCTACTCAATAGATGTTTGCTAAAAGCATGGGAAAACCAACTCAAGATCCTCCAGGTGTGAGATGGGGGTTCTTATTACATTACCTGCTAAGGAAACTGCTGTAACAGTCACCAAAAGGATTTCAAACTGTTGACGTGTCTCTTCTCATGCCCAGGGTGGCGGCCTCTGACATCCCAGCGAGTCGTTCAGTGACTAGCGTGGGTTAAGTACTGCCTAATTCTGTATTTCCCATCACAGGTGCTTATGGCATTTTGAGCAAACCAGTTGTTAATTATGTAAGACAGTGTCACACATTGCAGATTGTTTAACAGGTTAACAGATTGGTTAGCAGGTTAGCACAGCCCAGATTCACACCAACAGGTGTCTGACTCCAGACCCTGATTCACTACTCTCTGCCGACTCTGTTCTGGATATATGTAACAAGGACAGACTTCCAAATTTCTAGGTGTAAAAAAATCCTTTTGGAATTTGTCCTCTTCCATTAATGACAATGTAAAGCTGTGTTTCACAAAATACCTTCTGAATAGGGCTAATCTAGTGGATGTCAAATGTTGTAAGCATAAAGCATTGCACAAAAATGAGGTCTGAGAAACGCTTCCAGAAGGACACCTGCAGAGGGCAAGACAGTTACAAGGAAGACAGAACAAAGCTTGATAGGGAAACAGCCTTTCGTGGTGAGCTCGGAGGTGATTTTGGAACACTGGGGACCAAGCAATGGGACAATCAACAGAGGACCTGGTCTGCCAGGAAGTGATTAGGAACCAATTAGCAATGATTAGGCCATCAACAGAGACCATGAAGGGTCAGTGACTCTTCTTCTAATTTAATAATAATAATAATAGGTACAATTTACTTCTGCTGATCATTTCACATGATCCTTTATTGTCTCCTTTTCACATATAAAATACTGAGGGCAAAAGCAGCAGGTTAAGTAAATTCCCATAAAGCCACGCAGCTAATTAATGAGTGGTCATATTTGAACCCAGCTCTCTCTAATTTCACATCTTATGATTTTAGGCACTGTGCCCAAAGCGTCCCAGGACTTCCTCAGGGTTCTGTCAAGGGCTTTCCTGTGGGAACCTGTGTGAGCATCCGAACAACTCTAGTCTCACAGAGGAAGCCCATGAGCTCCTTAAATTGGTGTTTGTGTGATAGTACTGCCTCTATTTTCAGGGCGCCTCTTCAACCTAACTTGGTTATTTGGCCTAACTACCACCCATGAAAATTCCCTCTGGTATGATGTAAGCTTCTTAACTTTTATTAATCTATTTTTTAATTTACAGCTCTCCATACTGGATTAAGTGACTTTTTTTCTTTTTTGATAGATAATCCATGTTGAGGAAATAAGGGCCATCTCTATAGAGAGTAGCCCAATCTGATCCCCCCTCCTGGAGTCAGGACCTGCCTTCCATGACCTGAAGCTATGGCAAAATTAACGGTCTACCTGAGTTTAGATTCTTGGCCAGATCAGCATCTGATTTGCCCTCATTTTTCAATTTTCTCTGCCCTTTTCTTTTCAACAGATGTTGGTGCGTTTTTTGAAGAGGGGATGTGGCTACGGTATAACTTCCAGGCACCGGTAGTCGGTGCCAAGGAACCGGGCAGCAGAGCAGAGAGCTCCCCTGAGCAGCAGAACGCCCCTCCCGACCTGGCCCATGAGAGCATCCGCTTCAGCTTCAGCACCACCAAGGCGCCCTGCATTCTCCTCTACGTCAGTTCTTTCACCACAGACTTCTTGGCAGTTCTCATCAAACCCGCTGGTAAGGACAAGGATGCCTGGGCTCCGCTGCTTAATGTTGGGTGAACAGAATGTTCTAGAAAGTCTGGATTGCTCTTGTCTTGTCCTTTATTCTCCACAGGATGTTGAGCAAGTCATCCAATGTCTTTGAACCTCATTTCCCTACATGAGAGCCAAGAAAGCAACTTGTCAGTTGAGTGCCTTCTAGCAATGTGTCATAGTAGTAATGTTGCTAAGGCACGTCAAGTTCTTTATGGGGAGCGTATTACATGAATATGAGATTGTTCCATATGTATAATGATGATTTTTTGCTCCTGTCAAATAAATACATGTGCTGCTGTACTAAATAGAGATGAGCTCTGAAGTAGTAAAATTAATGTAATATAAATCAATGAGTTCTCCTGATTTATGATAACGTATCAGTAGGTTCCTACAAAACATATGTAACTTTCAATAGAAATTGAAAACCAGAGATGTTTTCATTCCTAAACCCTCTCAGAATTTTAGATCCATAAAATATATCCCTGGCATAAGGCTTGCTGAAAGCAGGAGCATATGTACACTTGTAATGTCTGGGACCATGTTGATCTCCAAATCTGCATGGAGCCCGAGCAAGATTGAAATGGGCCTCTTGTGAGAATATTCAAGTGTGCTCATGACCTCTGGGAAGAGTCCAAGCGGTCCTGAGACACATGAACATCTCAGACACTGAAGGGGCCATTCCTCTCAGAAGACTCGAATTCTGAGACACTTGAAAATTCTAAGGTTGCCTTTTCACAAATAAGAATACCGTAGGGTTATCAGGGAGCAAATCTCTGTCACTCAGTTCCCAGAGAGATTACACGGGCTGAGAGTGTGGAGACAGCCTCTCTCCTTGCCCACACCTTCTTGCTCTGCACTGATTATTCCGGCGGGGTCGCTTCTTAAAGATCAAGATTATCTTCCATGGGAGCAGAGATTATTATTATGAACCCAGGTCAGCCTGTGTTTTAAAACATAGTAAATTCTTAAACTACTGTGGTCAATTCACTGTTGGTTAAAAAGATTGAGGGCTGGGTTGGGGCGGGGGGGCGGGGCGGGGAGGCGTGGATATTTCCTAAGATTTTCCCTTTCAGTAATTATTTCTAAAGAAATAAGCCAAAAATCAGGCGAAGATGCGGCATGACAATGTTCCCCTCAGTGTTATTTATAAAAATCAGCATTAGGAAGGACCTAGATGTTCAACTGTAGTAAAATGGTTAGTAAAAGAGGGTAATATTCCATTTTAAGGAATATTACGTATCCATTAAGAATAATATTATGGAGAGCAATGGGGAAAATAGTATGGAGAAAAAATGATGTAATACAATGTTAAGCCAAAAAAGAAAAAAGGAGAGAAAGAAAGAAAAGAAAAGAAAAGAAAAGAAAAGAAGAAAAGAAAGGAAAGAAAAAAGAAAAGAAGGAAAGAGAAAGAAAGGAAAGATAGAAGCTTGACTATACAATATCATCTTGGATTTGTGAAAAATATGGATAGGAAACAAAAAACAATAATATGAACACAAAGTGCCTCTTGTCTGTCGATCTGCTTTTCCTGAGCAATACTTTTATAAATGTCAAATTCTCACAATGAGCAAGCAACTCTGTTGTCATCAGAAAGGGTAATGACTAAGATCAATGAGGAAGCAGAAGATGAAAGGACATAACCCCTGCTTTCCAGAAGTTCATGAGTTGAGTGTATTTCTCCTGGATCAGGTCAATTGATTTTTAACCCACTGATGTTCTCCACCCACAAGCCCCAGACTCTCGGGGCCCCGGAGGCGACTCTTACATAGGGCTTGTCAAGACATCATGAACACGCGCCGGGAGATGCTGTTTTGTCTACCCCTTGAGTCCCTGCCACACTAAAATTCAGTCCCCAATCCTATATCAATGACTCACATTCCCATAACCCACGGCCGTCCTTGTGTGCGCTCATGCTGGTGTTTGCGGACATTGACCGTGTGCAAGGGTTTAGAGTAATCAGTTCCATATCGGTGCTGCCATTTATTGATGCCTGAAGGTGTGCTGTGTTGCACATGCATTAATTCCTATGAGCCACACAACTACGAGGTCGGTATCATCCTTTATCCCCTGTCAACAGATGATACAACTCAAGTATGGAGAGGTTAAGTGGCTTGCACTCTCAGCTGGCGATGGCCACACCAGGATTTCTACGCTCAGGTGTCTGATTCCAGGCCCCGAGACCTCCACCACCCTCTCCGTGGGGCGGAGAGCTCTAGTGCACTCTCCGTGCGTTGGGAAAGCATGACCAGTGGGTTTCTTCCTAATCTTGCAAGGCCATCTTCGAACTGCTGTTTAAAAATTTGTTTTTTTTTTCACACTTCGAAGACGGTATTTTTGTTTCACTGCTATTTAAAGTTAGAAAATTCTGAAGGAAAAAATCAATAAGGACTGTGCCAAAATATCAGGAAAAAAATTTAAAAACCTGAAAGTCTTAACTAAATGCCCTGACATCCCTCAAACTTGACATGTTGAAAGCATGTTACCATCCCTGGGTCCCCAAAACTAGCCCCTTCTCCAGACGCTCTGCTTCCGACTGTGCTGCCCCCCCCCCCCCCCCCGCCAACCCTGAGATACCTGAATTCCCAAGCACCACGCGGTGTCATTCTTAAATGCTTAAATGCTCCATCCCCCTCCTTTTGCGAGCCACCCAGGCAAACAAGTCCTGCAGATTCTTCACACCATGTCCCTCGGGGGTATCTGTTTCCTTCCCCCCTGCTAGTCTGTGGCAACGTCTTTGAATTCACTGCCTCCAACCTCATTCAGGCCCTGGCAGGCAGAGAAGATCATTGCATCTGGAATGGTATTTGAGTAAATGGACGAGGTCGTGTTTGGGAGGCCACCAACCTGGGGGCTCCAGCAGCCTGGCCTGCGGAGGGGAGCCCAGCTCCGGGCACCCATTCTTCCTTCAGAGGATAGCAGTGCACCCCAGCACATCCGGGGGGCTCTGACCCACCCCACTCCCTGCTCGCTGTGACCCGCCACAGCCTTCATCATACACAGTGTCCCTCATCATGGATCAGTAGGGCCCACCGCCCCCCCCCCGCCCCCCGCCCCGCGAAGGGCAGGAGAAAGCCCAAATCCCACAACCTGCCAGTCGAGACCACAGGGCTCTGGGCTGAGAGCTTCCAGTGTAGAACCAGAATGTCTGTGTTTGAATCTGCTTCTGCCTTTTGTGCGGGTTGTGGGATGGCGATCGTGGACATCAGCCCCAAGCCCCGTGCCTTGTTCTGTAAAACAGGGCCTCCCTCGTGGGGTGTCATGAAAATGGAATGAGGCAGTAAGTGTGAAGCATTACCCTATCCCTATGCAGTCTGCAGTCCAGGTAGGTGTTGGCAGTTACTACCGTCCACAGCCCACGGATTTAATCTGCATCTGGCCATTTGACCTACATCCAGTGCCACACGTCGCAGCTCTTCCTCACGGCCCCCCAAGCGCGTGTGACACCTGCACCCTTGCCCACCGGGCCCCCTTACCTGGAGGAGCTCCATCTTCCTCTGGGCTCTAACACCTGCCTTTCACTCTAGAGCCAAGTCAAGTCTCACCTCCTTGCCGTGACTTCCCCTTACCTGAGACTCTCGTTATACTTATTTTCAATGTCATGTGTCTGGCACTCGGTGTGCCGTCTTGTTATCTGTCTTTGTTATAAATACGCCCTGTCTTCCCAGCGAGATGAGAAGCCCCCAGCACTACATCTCCTGCCTACATGAGGTGCCCCCTAAGTGTTTGCTGATGGTAATGATGATGGCCAGGAGAGAATCAATCTGCTAAGCATGTTATTTGCTGCAGCCAATAAACGAGCAGTCCCTTATAACTGCTTTAATTCACTTGGGAGATGCACCGGAGATGCAGAAGTGAAGTATTTTTCCATTTTAATAATATTTTATATTAATGGAAAATATTAATATCCTCCCTACCATCATTTAGTGCTTCTCTTGTACTATTATTTGAAAGGAATACATATATCATTTAAATGTTATTATTCAAGAAGATTGCCATTACTGTTTATGGATATCCCCTACCTATAAATTTCACGTTCCAACTCGTCTGTTTTCTCAAAGCAAATCATTTCCGTCGCCATTAAGTGAGGCAGTCACAGAAATTTTAAATCATATTTACAAAGAAAGAAAGCCAGAAAAGAGAAAAAAAATCATGGAAACAGCTTAAGACTGATTTTAATGAGCTGGGGAACGTAAGGGGACCAATGACAAAGACAGTAGGGAGGAAAATAATCTGGGTTTTTGCCTAATTACTAGTTCCTCAAACCGCTAACCCTCAAAGGCAGGGCCTGGCCTTTCTTCTCTTTGTACCCCAAGGACCAGACACAGGGGGTTGGAGGTGGGTGTGTGTCCTAGAGGTGGACTCTGCACTCCTGATAGCCAGGCAGACAGCGCACTTTCAGGCCTTGAAAACTCGGATTCACCAGTGCTTTTCATATTCTGAAGAAATGAGTAAATAAACGATGAATGAATACAGCTGGCTGTGATTTTACGTGGTCCAAGCACAAGAAGTAGAGCGTAACAACTCAAGACAGTCAGTATGTTCTACTGCACGTAGCCGAGCAACTGTCTCCTCTCCCCCCTGTTCAGGTCCAAATAATAGACTGTTTTTAATGCTATTAGGGTAAAGGGGGAAAAGATAGGGTAAAGCGCTGAGGGGTGGGGCGAGAAGCAGCTCAGAAAACGGGAGCAGCGTATTCAAAGGTCCTGGGGTAGAAAGGAGAATCATATTTTCTGGGGCATAACAGAAGGCCAAGGCAGCTTGATGTAAAAAGCGAGAGAGTAAATGGCGTCATTGGAAAATAACGCATCGGGCAGAGCTCAGATCAGACAAGGCATCTTCTGTTATATTAGGAATGTGTGTCTTCATTCTATGAACAACTGGAAGGCTTTGAAGAGTTTTTAGTGAACCAGTGAAATCGTCAATCATGCATTTTCAAGAAATCTCTCTGCAACAATAAAAGGCACAGAAGCAGGGAGACCATTTCATTCATTCAACATTTATTCAGCACCTACCAGGTATCAGGCATTATTCTAGGAATTAGGAATAAAGTACACGGGATCCCTGGGTGGCGCAGCGGTTTGGCGCCTGCCTTTGGCCCAGGGTGCGATCCTGAAGTCCCGGGATCGAGTCCCGTGTGGGGCTTCCACGTGGAGCCTGCTTCTCCCTCCTCCTGTGTCTCTGCCTCTCTCTGTCTCTACGTCTATCATGAAAAAATAAATGGATAAATCTTTTTTTAAAAAAAAAAGGAATAAAGTACAGAGAACGTAAACAAAAACTATTACTCTCATGGGGGGAAAAGGGGCAGAAAAGAGAGGAGCTGGCCAAAGCAAAGGAGTGGGTCAATTCTTTTAACTAGGAAATCACAGAAATAATCACTAGGAAGACATTTGAGCAGGTTTGGGGTCAGCCATGCAGAGAACTGAGGAACGAGCATCATAGACAGAAGAGCCAGCAAGGGCAAAGGTCCTGAGGCAGCAACATGTTGGCTTCTAAAGAACCAGCAAGGAGGCTACTGTGGACTGGTGAGGAGTGAGCGAGGAGGAGAAAAAGAGATTATGTCAGAGATACTAGGGGAAGATCATATAGGGCCTGGTGAGCCATTAGGAAGACTTGGATTTTTACTCTGGTCGTGATAGGAAGCTGTGGAGGGTTCCGAGCAGAGGAGCACTATGTCTGCCCTCTGAGAAGGGACCGGGGAGTGGGGGCAGAGGCTGGGTTGGGGCAGCGGAGCTGGGGCAATGGCAGAAGCAAGGAAGCTTGTTAGTATGGAGGTGAGTCCAGCAATCCAGGCAAATGACGCCGGTGGCTTGATCCAGGGGGTAGAAATGGAGGTGATGAGGAAAAGGAGTGTCAGGGTGTGTTTTAAAGGAAGAACCGCGGAGATTTGCCAGCAGATCGCGTGTGTAATACAGGAGGGACAGGGGAGGCAGGGCTTCCGGCAGGAACAGGCTGGAGGCTGAAGTTAGGCATTAACTGAAATGTGGAAAATTGAGACGGAAAACTGTCTGGGGGGAAGAGCAAGAGTTTTGCGTGGTGTCTGAAGTGCCAGTGAGACCTCCCCTGGGATGGGATTGGTGGTGAGGGAGAGCAGAGAAAGAAGGGGCTCAGCTAACAGTGCAATGAGGCCAAGGGATCCCAGGGCGGCTCAGCGGCTGAGCATCAGCCTTGGGCCCAGGGCGTGACCCCGGGGGCCTGGGATCGAGTCCCACGTCGGGCTCCCTGCATGGGGTCTGCTTCTCCCTCGGCCTGGGTCTCTGCCTCTCTCTGTGTGTCTCTCATGAATAAATACATAAAATCTTCAAAAGAAAGAAAAGGAAGGAAGGAAGGAAGGAAGGAAGGAAGGAAGGAAGGAAGGAAGGAAGGAAGGCAAGAGGCCAAGAGGGTTATTGCTAAGGAGAAACTGATTCGGATCAGGTGATCCAGACAGAAGATGACGCAGGTGAAGCTCAAGTGGTGGCCGTCAGGCCCCCGATGCCACGTGGTCAGCACAGAGTCACCAAGTTGAGCCAGCTCTGCCTGGAGCTGCATCCCCCAGGAGGAGGGAGGGCTCCCCGGGGTCCCCACAAGCTCCCCCCCAACCACCAGGGGACACCTGTGCCTACAGAGATGCAGGACGGGCCGTGAATTCACACTCACCCAGGAGGGGAAAAGCAGCAGCGCTTGGTCGAAATGCTGTAAGCAAACCCATCTAGGATAAAACACTATAGGGTCAAACTCAAAAGCAGGGACAGTTCGTCAAATTTGTCCAGAGAGCGAAATCAGGCCACACAGTTAGTTCTTGATTAATCTAATGCGCGCTGCTGGCAGGTCCGGGCACGCGGTGGAATAGTTGAGCCACGGTGGCTGCGCGCCGGAGGGCAGCGTTCCAGAAACCTCGCATTCAGTCCTGTGTATGTGGATACGCAAGGGCACGATGGATTTCGGGGAAAAGACACCGGCCAAATAGTCACAGTAGTTCTCTCTGGACGGTGGGATTTCCGGGGACTTTCTTTCTCTTTTTCTTTTTCTTTTCCTTCATTTCCAAGAAATCTGGATAATCTAGAAATGATTTCAAATCATTTCTAAGTTTTGATTATCGTGTTTTATTTCATGACTTGCCAATCAGGCTCTCCGCGTCGTTCCTCCGGGAGGCAATGGAAAGAGGCAGCAGAGACCCCGGTGAGACGATCTAGAGCCGGTCAAACCCTGGCTGGACGGCAGGCTTTGGTCTTTAAGCTGTGGGATGTCGGAAGCTGTGAACATGAAGAATCCAATTTGGGTTAAAAAAAATGAGAAAAATGAGATTAAAAAATTGATGTCTCCAAAAACAAAAAAAAAATTGATGTCTCAAAGAATCATAAATAAGAAACACAAGATATGTTTGCTGTGCAGATTAATGAACAGCGGGCTCTAGAATATTATATTAGTCTTTTCGAATATTATCTGTCATTGCTGGGGGGAGACAAGCAAGATGGAGAGAAAAACAGGGTGATTTGTCCGAGGCAAAGTGAGCCAGACCTGAGGGCCAGTGAGAACCCGGGGTCCCGGGATGCCCATCTTTCCTTTGATGTGCATCCGGATTGATGCAATCTCTAACCTAGAATAAAATTCATCGCTTTGTTTTCTTGGCCTCAGTGAAGCCACCCCAAATCCCATGTACTTCTCTTTTGTAAATTATGTTTATTTTTAATATTGTATGCTCATGATTCTTTTATACGCCGAATGTCGCACTTTGCTGGTGGCGGGAGACCATCCCTGCGTCCTGCATTTATTTTTTATTTCACGTAGTATTTTGTCGCTCTGCCGGCGTCTCCATAGTCCTATGCTGTGTGTGTCCCCATCATCCTTCCCAGGCTCGGTCCCCGCTCGGATCATTTATACCATTTGCTGCTTCAGCTTTGAGATGATGGTCACTGATGGCCCCCGGTTGGGGGACTATGAACTCCTGCGTGCCTGAGGCTTTTAACCCTGTGGTTTGGCTTGTGCCATCGACCTAGGGAGTCAGAACTCAGAAGAGCCACGGTATGGGCAGACAGCAAAACAGGCCAGCCTGAGCAACGGGGGTGAGAGAAGTGACATGGAGATGAAACCTAGCGGCACCTGGGTGGCTCAGCGGGTCGAGCACCTGTGTTCGGCTCAGGTCATGATCCCGGGGCCCTGGGATCGAGCCCCACGTTGGGCTCCCTGCTCAGTGGGGACCCTGCTTCTCCCTCTCCCTCCATCCCTCACCCTCACTGAGTTCTCTCTCTCTCTCTCCCTCTCCTCTCTCTCTCTCAAGTAAATAAATAAAATCTCCAAAAAAATAAAATAAAATACAATGAAATGAAACCTAGAGCAAACAAATTACAGAGTCTCTTTTCTTTCCCTTCCGTAGGAAGCTTACAGATTCGGTACAACCTGGGCGGTACCAGAGAACCGTACAACATTGACGCAGACCACAGGAACATGGCCAACGGACAACCCCACAGTGTCAACATCACCCGGCACGAGAGGACCGTCATTCTCAAGGTATATACCTGTGTGCATCGCTTGTATGGGAGACGGTTTTATGATCCCTGTCCTCGGTTATACTTGGCCACTGGTTATGGTTGGGGTGGTTGGCTTGGTATGATTGGGGTGGTTGGCTTGGTATGATTGGGGTGGTTGGCTTGGTATCATTGGGGTGGTTGGGTTGATATGTTTGGGGTGGTTGGCTTGGTATCATTGGGGTGGTTGGGTTGGTATGGTTGGGGTGGTTGACTTGGTATCATTGGGGTGGTTGGGTGGTCACGCTTTCTCCTACAAATTCTTGATCAGCCAAGTAGAAGGGCGTGTAGATATAGAAGGAAAGACAACGATGGAGTTAACAGCAAAGACATCTCTTAGGGAAAAGGTAGACTAAATGTGCCCTATGTATATTTTTGCCTTGCTGCTTCGCGTCCACACGTCTATCAATAGACTGGTTGACAGGCACTGAGGAGGGCCCTTGATGGGATGAGCACTGGGTGTTATGCTCTATGTTGGCAAATTGCACTCAAATAAAAAAAAAAATCGACTGGTTTTATCTGTCACACCATCCTCTCTTCTCCGTGCTCTCAGATGTCTGGAGCTTATCATGCTTCCCAGCGAAGGCTATTTTGGTTTATCTGACCTACTTCTTTCACTTACTTCAACACAATATGAATTAAACTGTGGTTGGGGTTTTGTTTGGGTTTGTTTTTGTTTCTGGTTTTTTTTTTTAATTTTTGTTTTTGTTTTGTTTTGTTTTTGTTTTTGTTTGTCTCTGTGGATGGATGCTCTGCCTGAAAAAAAAAAATAATCCTTAAAACACAGACCTGCCCCAGAACCTCACTCTGGTTGTAGGCTTTTCGGCACACGAAGGCATGGTTTTATGATGACCGTCAGATTTTATTGCCGATTCATTGATGGACCCTACCCCCCACCACTGATTTTCACAGTGGAGGAGCCAGCCTGAGAGGCCCCATGAATAAAACAGAGTGAGGAAGTCTCCCTGGGAACTAAGCCAAGAGATCAAGGATGGGAACTCTCCGTGCATTCTCTAGAAGGAGCGCAAAATAGACACCTGTCAGGAAAAAGAACAGCAGGGGGATACGGTTTTGTCAGCAGAGTGGAGTGTCATTTGGAAGGGGTCCAGCGGCCACTCAGACCTCATTCGGGTTCGGCTGGTTGACGTGTGAAGTTCGGGCCGCAAAGCAAAGGCACAAGTCCCGTCGGGTTTTGAGCGCCGGTGGATGTCAGATTCATAACTTGATACGGAGTTTGCGCTTGGCCTTTAGCAGGAGATGCTAGAGGGTACTTTGAGGACGGGTCTCTCCTTAGAAAATGCCAATGCGCAGTTACGGTGTCTTGTGCCATCAATCAAAGACGTGTAAATAAGGTGACCCCGCGGAGGTGGGCAGAGTCCCTGAGCCTAGCACGGTGCCCGGCTCATCTCAGAAGCTGCAGGTTATTTCCTGAGCAAACCAAGCCCGTCGTGAACCCTAACTCAAGGTTTATTCAGGAACGCCACTAAGGCCCGGATTGGTACAGTTTATATCGTTACAGGATGAGGATGGTTTTATGGCATTTTTTCAACCTTGTGTTCATTGGCTTTCAATTAGGAACAGTCTCTTGTCTTAACCCATCTGTCACCTCTTGCGTAGTGGCGTCTCTTACCATTGCAGCATCACAGAATGATGTTAAAAGTTTTTTAAAAAGCTCAACAGTCAGCTTTCAGGGCAGTAGACTGCAGGAGACCCACCTGAGCTGTGGAGCCTTGCAGGGCTCACTCTCCCCGTCTCCAGGAAAAACGCTCGGTGTGTCAGAACAGGGCCTCACGGGTGGGGAGCTGCAGGCAAAGAGGAGGGTCGGGTGAGTGTGGGTTGGGGACAGAGCTCATAGAGCCATTTCCAGGTATATTTCCCAAAATGAAGTCCGGAGTAAAGGTAGGTAAGGAAGGGCAGTCCTTCTGGCACATTCTGCAAACTGGGATTCTTCAGAACTAACCAGCAACCTGCCTTTTTTTAAAAGGTTTTATGTATTTATTTGACAGGGGGGCGGAGAGAGAACACATGCACCCACGTTGGGGGCAGGGGAGCAGAGCAGACTCCGCACTGAGCAGAGAGCCCCTCGAGGGGCCCGATCACAGGACCTCAGGGATCGTGACCTGAGCCGAAGGCAGACGCTTCACCTGCTGAGCCCCCCAGGTGCCCCCTAACCAGCAACCATGTAAGAACAAAAATCAGCTCAACCAGAGCCACCACCTGCCACAGAATTAGAAATTGCCCTGAAGATGGGGAGAGGATTGGCTATTTTAGGAACCTGGGGCTTTTGAGGCATGGAAAGCCCTAGAAGTCTGGATAGTGGAGGGGCCAGAGAACTGCAGAGAGTCCAGGAGCCTGAGGAGGGCTTGGGGGAGAGTCTAGCTCTATTGCTCAGAGTTCTTTTGGTTGCAAATGATGGAAAACTGATTCCAAATTCATTTGCAGGGAGAATTCTTAGCATAGGTCACAGAATTTAAGAAAGGGCTAACTACAGTTTGGGAGGAAAGCCCAGGGGACCTGGAGGATCACAACAAAGACCAGAGCCTGTTGCCCCCTGCCATAGCCCCCTCTCCTCTCCGTGCTCCCCTCCCTCCTCCCTGCCTCCCTCCCTCTAGTACCTCTGCTGGTCCACCCCTCGCCCAGGGCTGGAGTGACCCCTCTTCCCGCAGCCTCCCCCTTTTCCAAGTCATGGATCACAGGCACTGGAGCACGGGGCTGAGAAGAAAGTCTGGGAAAAGGCTCAGGCTTTTGCAGAAGAAAGTCTCTTGGTTCTCATTTCAAAACCTCAGAGAAGGTCTGTGACTGGCCTGGCCTGGGTTATGTGCTGCCCTGTTGGGAAAAGGGAGAACAATGACTGGCAGCCCCAGTCAGATGCGGAGAGCGGGGAGCTGGGGAGAGTCCTCCACAAGAGTAGGAACACGGTTCCAGAAGAAAGAGACACGAGAGGTGTGAACACAATGGCGGCGCAAGCCTTCGAGGCTAGGAACAGCCTGGAAGCGGGGAGCACTCCAAAGACACAGATGGAATTCTGCTGGAGGAGCTGTACCGAGGGTGGCGGAAGGTCCTGCCCTCTCCCTTTCTGTCATATGCAGCCACGCAATTGCGCTGAAATTTCTGGAAGTGTTGAGAAAGCCAGATGCCTCCACCCCCTCGAATTCAGCGAGGAAAGATTCATGCTCTCTGGTGCTCCGGGTCTTCCTCAGCCTCTCCAACCCAGCTCAGAAGGAAAGCAAAGCCAGGATGATGGCAGGATCAAAGATGGCAGCAGAAGAAAAGCTATGGCTCCTCCTTCTGGAAAAGTAGGTCGGGGAGACTTCCTGCCCTGCTCTCTTTCAAGCGGGGAGGCCCTTGTGGAACATGCAGGCACTTCCGAGGTTACCTCTAGAACTCTAGAAGAAACGCCCCCTTCCTTCTGGAAGCAGTCTACAAATCCATCTTAAGAACTTCTATAACCTCAGGCATGTATGGGAGAGATATGGGAAGCGTTCGTCACGATCCTTTCCGTGGGAAGGGATTCTAAGTGGTTTGGTCGCCTCTGGAGTTTTCTGTCGCTCCCTTCTGTCTCTTAGAAGCATGTGCTAGGTTTTTTTTGGTACGTGTTGCATTTTTACTATCAAACAAAAACATGAAACACAACAGGTATCTTCAACCCATCCTGACAGCCCCCCAGTTACGTAACAAAATGTAGTAACAGGGACATTTTAAATAATTTCACATTAAGATGCACTTCTAATCAAAGAACGAAACTAAGACTAATTCAAACATGAACATAAAATGCTATGATGTGATGCCTCTGGCATTAAGGCGAGATTTTATGCATTTCTATACGCACAAGACAGCACGTAATTCCAATGGTGTTTATCCGTGTTTACGGTGTTTTTAAAAGCAGGTTTACTTTCCTCGCTGGGTTTGGCTACAGCTGACATTAAATTAATTTGCATTCCCTGAGCACATACCGTCTGCAACGGTGCTGAGCCCTTGAGGGAAATTGACCTTGGATGAAACATTTGCTGCCAAAACACAAAGTGCCCAATCTCCACATAGATAATGAGGAGCCGACTCTGGGAGTCATCAGACACCGGAGTGAGCCAGAACCCGTGACAACCCTCAAGTGGCGTCATTTATGAAAACTCACAGTTGCACCAAGGATAATAGCTGAAGGCTTACCGCCAGTCAAGATGTAAAACAAACCCCAGGCAGGCAGAGAGCACCTGAAAACGTACTGTATGCGATGAAAATTCATGCCAATTAGATAAATCCAAGAGCTGAACATTACGAGGAATAATTGCAAAGTCTTGTGTGACAAAGGCCTTCTTCCCACTTTCCTTCCTTCCTGCTGTCCAGAGTTTATTTCTATGCCCTTCTCTTCCTTTCATCCCCCATCCCACTGAGTAAGGGATGCAAGGTGGTTCACAGGCAGTCTGTACGATGACATAGAAAATTGAAGTCAAAAAAAAAAGGGAAAGAAAATTGAATTAAAAAAAGAAAGAAAGAAAACTGAAGTAAGTCACAAAGGTATATGTATTTCTTACCTACCCTGGGTTGGAGTTACTGTCATAGAAAGCTGTCCCATAGCACCGCCCGCTTAGGCAATGTCCCGTCCACGGTAAGAGCGCACGTTCATCGGCGCTCACTGTGTCCTCAGCTCTGAGCTAAGCATGTTAAGCATGTCCCCCCCATTCAGTCCTCACCAGAACTATCCAGATGTGAAACCTGAAGCTCACACATAGTCCAACAGAACTTGCACGTGCTCGGGTGCTCTCTCTCTAAAATAAATTTTAAAATCTTTAAAACGAAAGAAGTGGATACCTGTGGTCAGTAAGAAAATGAGTGGTATTACAATGATAAGGATAATAATTGTTCTTAGTATGAAATAGTTTAAAAATGTGCAAAAAGCACAGAGAAATAATGTATATCGTAGCCAATCATCACACATTTGGGCATTTTACTTATTTCTTCACATTTTTTTTTAAATGCAGTGATAGT